TGTTAATAGCCAGCTACACCCACTGTAAAAATGGACAAACCTTTTGAGTTCAAATTAAACAAAAGAAAAAACAAAAAAACATTGGCGCTGCAAAGTGTCTGTCGATGTTGCATTTCCTGCGGTAATGATAGTGTAATTTCTTTTTACATAAATTAGAATCCCACCCAAAAACAAAAAAACACAACACAATTATCCATGTTTTGAAAGCTTGCTCGGAGATAATCAGCTATGGTGTCCCATCCAAATAACCGTGAAAAAAAAAAACACACACACACAACACAAAAGCTACATCCCCTTTTTTATTAGAGTATACACATTTGCAGATTTTTAAGATTTTATAGGTCTGCCCTATAGATAGTTACCACATGACCTCCATCATGGTCCCGAACCCTAATTTTTTTTAATTTATCTAAACGCCTTTGAGTAAAATGAAATTTGACTGGGGCGAGGATAGCTACAGTTTAATACACGTTAATAACTTCTCAATGTTCAAACTGACCCAACGTAAAAGCATTCTTTGACCATGTGAATGTTGGGGGAAAAAAGTATTATACAATTCCTTAAAGGCTGAAGTTTTTCTTGTATTTATCTCTGTTATTGATTTTAGAACTCCTTTACCTCCACCATTTGTCTGTTCAAAATGTATGAATAATCCCTGGCTCCTAAAAGGTACCTGATCTAAAGAAATTCCTGATCCCGTATTTCCTCTCACACACACATTCAGTTCTGAGATGCAGTCCATTTAACCTAAACTTAACAATACGGCCATTTGCTAATTTTCAAACACGCTACTCATTTGTAACCTTTTTGTTCACGTCCGATCTCATTATTCGGCGGGACGTCCTAATCTGTCTCTCGCACTTATATCACACGTCCTCTGTTCGTCTCAATCTCGTCTGCGCTGCGCACTCTACCAAATAATTGATGTCTTTCGCGGAGAAAACGTAATTGAATCATGGTTTTAGAGAATGAATTCGGCACGTTCGGACTCCAGACGGTTATTATCCGAGCGGAGATCCCTCGGGCCGCAAATGTCAATTACACAGAAAACACGGAGTCTGGAGCTGGTGTAGACGTAGAGCAGACGTTTTTTGGTGTCTGTCCGGTGTTAGATATCCACAAAAAATACTGTGGTTGTCCCTTTAACTCTCCCAATTTAGACACGGATATAACAGAATAAAGACCATAAATAAGACATATCTAGAGCAGTTTGATCACCGCTCTAGATATATATATATATAAAATACTGGATTGATTTTTTTAAGTCTGTTTGTTTGTTTGTAAACGCCTAAATCTGTCTGACCTACTGACGTCATATGCTTCATCACGTTTTCTCAGGTCGGCATATCAGGCTCTGCGTTCCTCCAACTGAACGGAAACTTCTTCGGTTGTTGGTCCTAAATTATGGAATGAGCTGCCCCCTGTGTGTCAGACTGTCGGATTCACTTCCTGCTTTTAAGTTCCGTCTTAAGACTTACTTGTTCTCATTGGCTGTTAATGGATTTTGAATTGATTTTTTGCTGTAAATAGTGTGTTTTTTGCCACTGCAAAAGTATGTATTTTTATGTAGAGCACTTTTATCAAACGTGTTGTTTTTATTAGTGCTTTATAAATAAACTGGACTGGACTGCAGAGTGTTCCCCAACCTTTTTTATTGATACCTCCACCGGCAAAAACGTAGACAAACATGAAACACTGCAGCCTTTATGAGCCCCGAAAGTCATTCTCATCAAAGTGTGTTGTCACATAGTATTTTCTCCCATTCACATGTAAGATACAATTTGGTCTGAAAATGTATCAATATACTGTATAAATAACTAAACTGTTTTGTTTGTGCTACTTTCAAAGTTAATGAAAATGCCTTTTACACATCCACTCATGCTCCACTCCAGACAGTATTATCTGCTCATCCCTCAGGCCAGAAGAGAGGCCAATTACACAGCACACAACTACCCTCAAAACTAAAAAGAAAATAAAACCTTCTCCCATTTCCCCTTTTATGACCGCTCGTCTCAATAAGTCAAAAATGGCCGTAAACAACACAATGCGCCCCTTATGTCACATTTGATGCAGACATTTTTACCCTTTAACACTGCACGGCCCCTCAGCATTTCTGAATTTTATGGAAGTCGGTGTAATCTGGCGGAGGGCATAAAATTCAAATTTGAGCTTTACCAATTCTCCAATGTCCCCAATGTACAGTTGTGCTTGGATTTTACACACACAAAAGCAGAATTTTAGTGTTTTGCTTTTTTTTACCTGTATCAGAGATTCAGTAATAACCCATCCATCCATCCATTTTCTTCCCCTTTGTCCATTTCTGGGTCAGGGCAGTGGCAGTCAATGCTGCACCCAATTCACAGAATCCCCACTGATCCTCCTGCAGGTGGTGAGTCCACAGGAGGATGGCTTCTCTGTCAGTGACAACACAAAGAGAGAAAGAGACCAGAGGGAGACCAGAGAGGGACTGAAACTAGAGAGAGAGACGAGAGAGACTTGAGAGGGACTAGAGAGAGACCAGAGAGCAGAGAGTCCAGAGAGATAGACGAGAGAGAAGCAAGGGACTAGAGAGAGACCAGAGAGACTGGAGAGAGTAGAGAGAGAGATGAGAGAAGGACTAGAGAGAGAAACCAGAAAAAGACCATCGAGAGACCAGAATCTCCAAATAATGAACCGACTAATGCAATATCTGCCTGGTGAGTGTGTGCGTGTGTGTGTGTGTGGGTGTGTGTGTTTGTGTGTGTCAGTATATGTGAGAACTGAGAAACTATAGATTGCTTGCACTAATACTTAAAAAGGTTAGACATATTGTATTATTTCTTGCTAAAAAGCCCATGTTTTGACCACTCAGATGTCTTTCCTATGGGGTTTTTGGCTTCCCCTTTAGCCCCAGAGCCACACATTGAGGCGTTTGCGGTTTCCTAACAAAACCAAGACGGTCTTGCCAAACAAAACACGGCGAAATCCAAAGTTCTCTGTCTGAAAACACGACTGGGATATTTGCTGATTTTTCATTTCTAAAAGGACGGTGTAGTGGCTGATCGGAATGAGAGGCAGTGCTATTCTTTGATGCTATCGGGGCATTGAACCGAATGATATGAAATGTGAGATAGACTTACAGCTGCGCGAGGTGGATTAAGAACTCAAAACAAACAAACATGGCTTTTCGTTTATAGTTTTTGACCCACTGGTGAAATATTATATTTCTGGTGTAAAAGATTTGAATCGCTGTAGATGGACATTGTGTGGGAATTTTGGCTATTTTCTCAACTATTTTCAGCATTGCAGGGGAATAGAATAGAAAATGTTGCATAACTTTGCACAACCATGAGGGATTATTTGCATTAATATTTCACTGCCTGCAGATCAGATTAATTTTATTTACCATTTGCAGTAAAACCCCATTGGAATACATTTGCAAGTGCATACATGTTTTAGATTACTTTCTTACTTATATAAAAAAAAACATGGTGAAAAATAGGTAATCCTCAATCCAGGTGCTATACTGTGGGGGCAATGATTTTGTTCTAACTGCATGATCCTTGAATCTGTTTTCTTGGAATCCGAATTATGGACCAATTTATTTTTATCATTGCATTTCTTGAGTTGGATTGTTGTTTGATTCTCTGATCTGTGTTGGCAAATTCAACGGTTTTATTAACGGGCCCATATCACGGTTTTTGACTTTTCTCTGCTTTAAACATGATTACAATGCTATTTGGCCTTCATACACAAGCCCACAGTAGTTTATTAATTGATTCTGTAAATCTTTTGTAAGAGAACAATCTGTCTCCTTCCCTAAGGTGAGGCACAGAAACGCTCGGGTCCACTTCAGTAACGAAAACCACACTGATGACGCGCATGACCGCGTTTGCTTTGTATTTAAAATAGTTGTTAAATACTTTTGTCAAAATGGAGTAAACAATACACAATTAGTATGCTGTTTTTTGTCAAAAATAATAAAAATAAAAATAAATTAAAAGCCGGCGGGGGGTGATTGACGGATCAAAACAGCGAATCAGAGCGCACAGGCTCCGGCTCCCGAGTCCAGCGTCTGTGGTCTGGTCTCGCGGACACCACATAGAGCTGCTGTTTTTCGGCTTTTGTCAGCAACTAAAAGTGTTAGGATCACGTCAACTTGAATGAAATGTGTTTTGGGTGTAAATATGTGACGCGCTATTTGGCCCTAAGCGGAAGAAAACGGCTTGACTTTTTTCATCTGTTCATCTCATGGATCTATTATAATACCGGTTCATCTGCGACACTTCACTGAGACTGTTCCAGAACTACAGGGACAATGGAACTGGACTTACTCAAAAGCTGATCTGGAAACACGTTATTCCCACGGTAAAAGACGTAACTCGAACCCCCTCGATCTGTAAGTAGTGACGCTAACTCGCCGTATACTTCTGTAAACTAAATAACTAGGGTCTGATTGTGCATCGAGGACATAGGGCTCAATGTGACGGATTGTCATTGTTGGAAAAAGTGTATTCTTATGTATGAAATTACCAAGTACAGGTGATGCGTGATGCTACGTCACCGTGCGGGCGGGGGGAGGCGGGCTCACAGGCAGAGGAGCAGACTCTTCTCTGGATCAGCTCGTTTGAGTCGAGGTGACGTCACCTCTATACAAGAGATGGCTCTAATCTCACAAGCTTTGATTGTTGTGTGGTGTATCATACACATTAATATCACACATGTGCATAGGATTGAGTGTGAAACATGAAGAAAAGCGTGATATAGGACCTTTAAGTCCTCCGAGATAGCTACTGTTGTTGATATGATAAAAAAAACAAAAATAAAAAACTGGGTAATTTAAACGGAGAATGTTTCAGAAAGTGTGATGATTTTCATTGCTTTTGGGTGGTTTGAGAGATGCATGCATTACTTCTATGATACAGATGTTGAAAGAAAAAGCATCACTTCCTGCTGAGCCCCACATCTGCGAGCTTCCACTTCACACAAATGTGGAAAAAACATGCTCCTTTTCCCCTTTTTTACGAGGGCGGACCTTTTGAACTCCGGAGGTGCCTGGATTCGTCACAGCTGAGGGATCCCCCCCCCCACACACACATCTCTCCGCCCCCAGAGCCCCACCTCTCATTCCTGTCCCGACCGCGGCCCGGACCGAGTAACCACAGTCCACTTGTAGCCCTGATCCCTGTCTGCACCTGTCAATCAAACGCCCAGATTGAAGCGCCGTGAAGAATCGGAGAAACCGTTTCCACTCGATTCATCTTTTTCCTCTCTTCCGCATGAGCCAAATATGATACTGTTTTAATCCGACAAATGATTGGTATATTTCATATTTCAGAGATGGCAATAGACTTTTTATTCTTATTGGACCTTGAGCTTAAGTCTCCATCTCCCAGTTGTCAATAGCCTGTATTGATAGGCTAACAATGCTAACAGGGCTACTAACAAGGCTATTAATTACAGTTTAGTCTTTTTTGTTAGTTGTGGATGAGGTTCTTTGTCCTCTCTGGTGGTAAATCTGCCCATTCTTCTTTGAAAATCCCTAACAGCCCACCAATTGGGCAGTGCACTTGCTGGATATTCTGCAACAAAGTCATTGATCCATTAACGTGTGTGGTAAGTGACATCTGGGCAACGTCCAAGTCAGATCTATCGGAGAAGGAATTTTAAGCAAAAACAGTGAACTAAATAAATGGAAGCATGGAAAGTTAAATAACAAGTTCCTCTAGAAATGTTAGTAGTGACAAATAGATGGAATGGAACGAGAGCATTACAAAACATAGGCTTAGAGTGATAGTTGAAAGAAAGAGAGTGGCTAATACTGCAGTAACAGCGTTTCCATTAGCTTGGGTGACAGAGTGTGACAGAGCGTGTAACATGAAATGATGGTTTAATTTTGACATTTTTGACCAAGAGATACTGAAGTGTTGTTGTACTTTGACAAGACACAGAAACTTTTCCCATATGTAATTGTTGTTCATTGTGGCATTTGTAATCATATATGGATAGATAGATACATAGATAGAATGATAGATACTTTATTGTTCCCTGTAGGAGAAATTCAGGTGTCCGGTAGTAGCAAAAACACATCACAACACAAATAAAACACAAAAATTGACAGTCTGATAAAAATAAAATAAAAATAAATATACAATAAAACTGTACAAGATGAAAAATAACCTAATGTCGACAAAACAATGAAGGAGGTGGCTTTCATCTTGTAGCAACCATTTTTTCTGTGGCTTTATGCCCAGCCAAAAACATCATGTAAGTGTTCACTATAGGGAGGTGAAAATCAGAGTTATTGTCTTGATAAATGCCATATGAGTGTTCCCGTATCGCCCCCTTAGTTTTCGGAGCGACTGATAAACTCAAGCAGGTGCAGGAAAACGAGCCTCTTAGGATCTATAACGCCGTTTGATTCTGACTTTGGTCTGGCTCATATTTTAAAGGGAAAGCTGAGAAAAAAGCGTGTGTTATACAATATGATCAAATCCATCTTTTGGCCTTTCCTTCGTACAATAACGCTCTGTTTTCCCCGATGGTTACAGTTTATTGGAGCTTGTCTGCGGCTGTCGTAAAACGGGAGGAATTCCAGTGAATCCGTCTGACGTTTCCCTCAACTTTTTTAGCTCCTCTGTGGCACAAAAACCATAAAAATGCCCTCTTTCACCTCCGCCTGTTTATGTGGTGGTCATTGGTGAGGCACGGTTTGCAGCTTGGCAGTGCGAGTAGTAAACAAATGCATGGAACGAATGACCAAAGCATCTCGTCCAAATACGGTCAAAAGTGCGACCGCTAAATACCAAGAGTCTGTTTTCTGACTTAGTCCTGGATTAGTTGTGCGTGCCGCCCAATTTGTACATAGAGGTAATGCGATCCAAATAAATTCATCATAACTATTCTCTACGGAGGCAAAACTCAACCACAGGCATTTGAATACATCCTTATTTTTCAATTATACAAAATTGCAAGGAAGTAGTAAGCACATTACTAATGACATTGCCAGCTGTTCCAAAGAGTTCTATAGACATGGAATGATTTATGTGCGTTTGTTGGAGCATATACAGTATATACCCACTGGACTCACATGTCCCATCTCCATGCAGTCTTGTCTTGCTTAGATCGGTGTCCCCCAAACTTTTCATTGGAAACTTTCACATGGCACACCACCGGCTGAAACGGACACAAAAAAGTGAAACTCTGCTGCTGTTATTAACAATGTAAAGCAATAGTGTGTTGTATAGCAATTCAAACAAGCACAAATGCGTTTTTTCTTCTTCAAGTCTAATCTACATTCTTTTATTTTTTACATTATTTTGACCAATTAGGCGACACTGGATTATTCCTAAAGGCACATCAAACAACATACATCTCAAAGCACACTAAAACACTGGGTTAGATGATTGCATTGTGGTAAATAACACGTAAATAATAAACACAAACATTTACTACAAAAACTTGTTGAAATTGAAAATAATGAGATCCAGATTTTTTCAATTTTTCATGTGCCCCTAAACTTTTGTTCCGTTTTTTACAGGAGCAACGATTCAAATCCATACCTTATAAAATTGCGCAGATTCAAACTGCTAAATTCTTGGGCTCACTATATAAGGTAAGAAAACATGCAATTTTTCTAAATTTCAAACTCGCAATTCTAAAAATACCGGGAAAAAAATGAAAGAAAGGTCTATTTGAATCAATTTACGACGGTTACCTTCTGCAGCACATGTTTGCCGTATGTTTTCCAGTTTTGAGGAGCGTCAGTCACGTTGCAGGCCATGTGTGAAGCCGCTCGCTCTCCTCGTGTTCTTGGCATCTGTCGGACTGTGAAGGTTCATGACGAAACGCATCCACGGCGCCTGTATCATGTTCGCGGTGGTGAAAAGAGAGGCCCAATCGGCTCCTCGATATTTGCCGATCGAAAATTTGCACTTCCACTTTGGCTCTCCTGTTTTCATGCATTCAGAGCGTTCGAATTATTCAACACAGGAAGTATTCTAAGATTGTGTAAGTGCATTTTATATCCCTGTTGTTAACCAGAACAAACACGTGTGATGATAGCTCTCTATAGTAAGGTATGGTAAGGTAAGGCAAGGCAAGTTTATTTATATAGAGTTCATACATACACAAGGCGACTCAAATTACTTAACAAACAAATGGTCACTATTTTTAAGTTTGAAACTGAAAAAATACCTCTTTGGGGCATTTCACTTGCATTTTACCATCAAACTGCATTTCAACCATTTTGTAAAGGCCTTTAGTAAAAAAAGAATGGGGGTTAAAAAAGTACTCTTAGTTTTCCTACATCTCATAGAAAAATAACTGCCTTTCTTTGAGGAGTGAATGTTAAAGGGTTAAAAAAAAGTGCAGACACAATTCTTCACTTGTATGCATGTCAGAGTAGAAGCATGTCTAAGTCAGAGTATACAGATTTTAGCTGCATAAATCTGAAACGCTGCCTCCCCATGTTTAGTCCTGACTCCAGCACCAGCAGGAGGCCAGTCCCTGTGCTTCTATAATGAGACATATAGTGCAGACAGAAATGTATTTTTCACGCCAACATTCTGCTTTTACACTATCAGCACCGAGAAAATATACTATCGGTAAAAAATGACTAAACTAAAGATAAAATGATGATTCGATTATGACATCTGGAGGGATATGTAACTCTTCTCGTATGAGGTCCTCGTTCTTTTATAGTTTTTCCAGGAATGTTGGCGCAGTGGTTAGTATTCTCACCGCTGAACAAGAATGTCCTGGGACCAATACTGGGAGTGTCAGCGTAGGTTTTCTCCATGTGCTCCAGTTTACTGTTAAACTACTGTTAAATTGAGCTAGTGTTATGTCAGGGATGTGTACATTATAACAAAGAAATGAGTTACAAATTAAATCAAATACCAAATTCCCTTTACCTCAATTTGATATATTAGACGATTAAATCTTGAAAAGTAGTATAGAATTATTATGGTCTTTGAGTTCAAGATAGATTGATAGATGGATAGATGTATTCGTCATTTCACACACATTTATATACATGCTGCTCATGGTTTTCATTTGTGTGTCCGGAGCATAGACTGTAAATATTAATGGACGTAGTCGCGCCTATCTCCGCCGTTTAAACAAATGGGCCAAACAATGTGCTCTACTGGAGCGATCCAAAATGGCCGCGAGTGGTCCCGCCCACAAGAAAATTGTGAAAAAACTCATCTGCACATGCGTCAGCCGGCACAAGCTCCATTCATTTAAACGAGTGACTTCAAAAATTCACAGCAAGTAAACTAGAGTGGACCAAAAAAATTCACCCCCCTCAGCATTGACACACATGTGGAACGGAGCTTTGGGCCAAGAGCAACTTTTGGACCACCCTGTAAAGACGTTTGAGAGGTAAGAATATGCTATATGTTAGCATTGGCTAATTCTTATTCCGGGTCCACCCCCATCGGCCTGGGGTGGTATTGCAAGCTTGTCAGCGCACTTTTGAGCCGGGACCCGCCCCCACTGTTCCGGAGCACCTGGAGGAAAACTATGCAGACACCGACAGAGCAAACAAACAACTGTGCCGCCAGACGAGTTGGTAACATTTAGAAAGATTGAAGAATGGATTTTCACATAGATTTTCCTTTACAATGGAACGTCCTGCGCACTGAGAGTTGGTGTGGTACACTTGAAATCAATGTATTTCTTTGTCTAATGGACAATTTGGTTTCAATGTTGGCAGAGCATTTGAGATGTTAATTAGATATTATAAACCAGATATTATCCTCTTATCCTCATTTGTTACTTTGAAACCGACCCAAACACTAAATATTTCATGGCTTACCTTGGTCGACGCGCTGATTTGCAGAAACCTGGTTTGCCCCGCAGACTCATAATGGGGTTTGATCATTAATGAATATTTCTACTAATCCGAAAGTCACTGGAGGGCTCCAATCACACTCGGCTCTCATGTAAACACACTTTTTCTCGGTAAGCACTGAATTTGCACTGCTTTAGAATTTCAAGTGAAGAGCTTTTTGGCGAAAATAAAAAGGTTTAGTGACTTCTTTTCTTCAAGCAAGATAAAACATTTCCTAATGGGAACAAACAACAACATGTCCTTGATCTATTATTGCAGTGTTTTATGTTCAAAGGAGGTTTATAGTTGTCAAAAAAACAGGCAAGAAAGGAGAATGTGTGGAATAAGACATGGCTTAATGATTATTAAATGTTATACTAATGGACGTTTTTTATAGCCCCTCCCTATATCAAGTTCTGAACAACGGCAAGACCATATGATAGTATAGTGTTGTTTGTGTGTGTTGTCTGGATAAATATAATCTGATTACACATACAGTGCCTTTCCTATGGGGGTCACTTTCGACCGGAACACTACAGATGTCCCAAGGTTCACTAAAACACTCAAAATTCAAATAATGTGATGCTCACTTCTTTTTTATTCAGGTGCACAGTGTGGAGTCTTGGGGCAATGAGATGTAAAAAAAATTAAATAAAATGAGTGTTCAAATGCACAAATCGGTCTAATTTGAACCGAACACAGCTCAAAGGTTGAATTGGAAACGTAAAACTACTCTTGCTCAGTCACCGTTTGTGTCATTCTCACCATTTTGAGCTTAAAAAGTGGGTTAGTGCCCTCTATTATCCTGGTTGTTAGATTTTGGTAATTGTCTTGTTTTATATTGTCTGTAAATTCTGTCATGAGCCATAAGGATTGACCAATCGGATGCCTTCATTAGCGGGGTAAAGTTTGCATCTGCCCCTGTTACGCCGCAGAGCTAACCTGGTCAGAACAAACGCCCATATATGGAAATTGGCTCCAGCTTGCGTCTGTTCAAATCAGCTTCTTCTTTCACATTCGACAAACACTGTGGTGATGTCAGAACTTGGATATTCCAATCCCAATATACTGTGTTTGGAACTCTACATCTCTACATATTTCCAATGCTATCCTATAACACTACTATATCACTGTCCTGTCCCTTTGACTTTCTCACTGTCATTGGCCTTGCACAGATATGGCTGGCAGGACGATCTGTGGAAACATTTCGGGGGAGGTCTGCATGGAGGGCAGCAGCTTTGGGCGCCGTGGGGGAGTTGGCCCGGTCCTGACACTGTTCTCTGGGCGGTCCACCTGCCTGGCCTTGGCTCAGCTCCGGCTGAAGGGGAGATAAAGCCTGGGACTCGGTGCGGAGGCCTGAGGGGAACATGGCTCCCAGGGAAAGTCAGTGAGGAAAGGTCCTTATCAGAGTCCAGATAACAGCAGACAGGATGAGGAAGCCAGGGGAGATAGACTGGGGAGATATGTCAGCTACTAAATAATATTCGTATTGTTAAAAATGGAACCATAAAAAATTCCCTCAAGCTCAAAACATTTTGGTTCTATCAATAGTTTTTATTACTTTATGTTTGGCCAGTGTCACATCTTTCGAGCACCGTTTTCAGACAGAAAAGTGAAAAAGAGACGACCACCTTCAGCTCTCAGCCCAAACAGTCAAAAAGTGACTCACAGGGCTTTTTCTTACAAGAATTAAAACATGTTTTTAAAAAGCAATAAACCAAAACTGTTAGATTAATTACATAATAGTGTTATTTAAAGTTGGGTGCTACAGCTTTAACATTAGAAGATATGTTATTTACCAGGTAATCAAAGTTTAAAAGTATTGTTTTACATTTTGCAATCATTAGCATTTTCTTCCAGAGTGGTTTTGTTCCAGAAAACTCTTTCAATGTGGATAGTGGGTGCTTATCAAAGTGTACTGTAGACAAGTCCATAAAGGAAGTGACCAGAGGACAAAAAGAGGCCGGAAGAAACAAGGTCATCTGCGGTGGACTTCAGGCTCTGGTTCAGGACCCAGTCAAAACATTTATAAAATAGTTGGAACTGAAATAGAACCAGCCATTGTTTACATGGATGTGATTTATGAAGACAAGGCTACAAAGGTTATCTGCCCATGTCATTAGAAATGTCATAAAGGGCTGAAAATAGACGTACAGGCGCCTGCGTCGCAACTGAAATATGTGAAATCAAGACCATGATTGATTTTTTTGACATTACAATTATAGTACATAATTCAACAGTGAACAGGGTTAACTTTAACTGGAAAGTCTGATACTGCTTTGTTTGGAATCAGCAACACATTGGCCAAATTAAAATTCAAGGTAAATTACAACCCAGATCATGGTGGTGGCGAGAAAGATCAACTAGATTTCAGCCTTATTTCCAATACTGCTGTTTTATTAGAAGGCAGATTTTTTGAGGAATACACAAATGTATAAGTTACATAACACTTTAGTAAGTATAATAATTGTAATGTCAGGCTCTAAATGAAAAAAAAAAAGGTTGATGCTTCAGATTGTGTCTAATATCTTCGTCTTTTTTGTATTAACTGAAAAATTAACGTACCTAGAACTTACATTTTTCCAAGGGTCATTGGGGTTAATAATAATAATAATAATAATACAAAAATAAATAAAATAAAAATAATGATAATAATGCATCAGTTTTGTATAGCGCATTTCAGGACACTCAAAGACGCTTCACATGTCATTATTCATTCACTCCATACACGGTGGTGATAAACTACTACTGTAGCCACAGCTGCCCTGGGGCACGCTGACAGAAGCGAGGCAACCGTATGTGCCATCGGCCCCTCTGACGACCTCTAGCGACTCACACACAAACACACGCCAGACTCCTTCCAGGCAAAGTGCGTGAAGTGTCTTACCTAAGGACGCAACAACATTTTTGTCACTTTACAGCCGCAGCCGCCCCACTGTGGCACCCGGTGTTCCCAGAGGTCTCCTATCACAACACTGACCAGGCTCTGCCCTACACAGCTTCAGAGGTTAATATTTGCAGACCTATACATTTTTCAAATACCACAAGGAACTTTTACCCTGATAACTGTAGCTTCATATCGCAATCGTAAAAGTGTGTTTCTGACAGAGGCCAAACGTTTATTGGCAAGACCTTGTATTTTGGAATATTTCCTCTAAGGTACAACCACTCACTGCTCATATTTTGGTATTTCCAGTATGATCTCATTATGAACTACGCAATCAATAAGCTATGTGATCTTTTCTTCTTCATCAGCACGCTACAGTAAGAGGATCTGACAGGCCTGTGTACGGAGCCAGCCCGGCAGCACCATAACGTACGCCCCTGTCCACATCCAGGCCTGCTATAAATCATCACATTAGCACTTGTCATAAGGTTAGCATCACTTTCTCAAAGCGTTTATCCATTTTTCTCTTTGACGGAGAATCAGAGCCAGATACTGCTGTCTCTGTGCCAGATGGGACGGCATGCGAGCACACAATAAAGAATAGTAACGGCATACTTCTTTTGACGTATGGACAAGGTATATAACATTTAGGAATTTCAGAAATTTGGAATAATATGTAAAAATGCACGAAATAGTCAAACTTTTTCATGTATGGACCGCCAGCTGTTCATGGATTCTCTTCATGGATATTGTTTTTTGGAATGTTTTGGCAATATGACATTAAAGCTGAGGTACCCAACTTTTTTCATACAGAATACGTGTAAATTTCCGCAATCAAAAGAGAGTTTAAAAGTAAAATGTGGTGAACAAATTAGACCGCGCATGCTCTCTTCATACAATAAGAAAACATTTTATATTTAGCATACTAGAAAAAGCCCTGTGAGTCACTATTTGACACTTTGGGCTGCGATCTGATTGGCTGAGGGATTGTAGTCCTTTATTTTTCTCTTTTATGTCAACAAAAGCTGATATAAAAATGTGACAGTGGTCAAAAATACAATAAATTGAAAATAGTGATTGAACAAAACTGCTTTGAGCGTTGGATATTGGATTATAGTTCTATTGTTGTTGGTTTAAAGTTAGGTACCCCAGCTTTAAACTTTGCATATGCACAATTAATCCCAAAACAATGACCAAAATGCTATATCTTCGGTTGTACAAAGCAATGCTAAAAATGCAAATAAAGCACTTTTGCTCTCCTCCGAAATGAAATCCATCGTCTCGTCTGCTGAAAATTGCTTAATTACAGAAAAAAAAACCCTGAAGCCAATTTTACAGTCGAGGAATCCTTCTGTGGGTTTCCCTATTTTCCCTGAGTGCCCGAGTTGGTAATGATTTCCTACGGCAATTTTAGTTCTTGTTTTTCCTCATAACTTCTCTATGCCCTCTCCAAAGTATAGAAACTTCATGCATAAATAATAGTCGGTTTCTCTCTCCCCTTAAAAGGTATTTCCATTTCTGTGTAATCTCTGGGGTTAAACCAGGAGCATTTGGTTCAAAAATGTGATATTTCAACATACCATATTTTTTGGTTTCTGACAGCCATTATACTTACAATATAAACTTGCAGATTCTGTGATCTCTTCGGAGCACTATCGATCACTTAATCTAAAAATCATAGTGGGTTAAATATCTAATACAATGACACACTGGTCAGATTTAGGTTAAGATTTCTGAGATTTGAATTTTCTAAATGACCAACTAACCACTGTGCACTTTAATATAATTAATTTCAGTGGTGTTCCACAAGGGTCGTACAGTGGACCCAAGCTCTTTTAGTTCTAAAGCAGCATAGCATATAATAAAGCCAAGATGTGAATAGATGATATCAGATTGGTTCATTTGAAAACGGGGCAAAAAAGGATATTTTTCATCTGGAGTCTCTTTACAAATGCATTAACAAAACATGATTATTACAGATATTAAATTAGATCAATGTTGAAGCTAGTAAATTAGCCTTCTTTATCCTATTAGAAAGCATGTTATCGTTTGCATAAGAAAGAGCTCAGAGGCCTAAAAATACATGTTTGTGATAGAATCAAATTGTTGTAAGAGCCAGGAACTAGTTTTTATAGATTTGATTACATAGTTAAATTTGTTGTGCATTCAAACTTAGGCACCCTCAGCTTTAATTATGCTACTAAAATCTCTTAACATAAAATTCAACACAAATCACTATCGCAGTTGCAGAGTTGATACCATACTCACAAATTTACCCAAAACATAACATTTTTAACTGCATTGTGTCCTTGGGCAAGACACCCACCTCACCTCGTCTCGTGTTTTTGTGAAAACGCCTCCACAAGCAAGTATCACCAACAGCTTCTCACCTTCATTCTTCCTTTGAGGTTCCTCTGTTATACGATGCTAACCCCACACACAAAAGAGCGCTAAGACACGGACCAGACTGCCTTATCTATTCTTATCTCCTCTCAGACCACTGTGGGGGCAAATTAGCACCTTGTCTAGTCTTTTATAATTCTCTTCTCATGGTTAAGCCTCACCACTGCTGCGAGCCATCGGTAAATCATCTCTGTTTGGGTTTGTCTACAACTATCTCTCTAAACTTTGAAGCTTCTGAAATGCACTTCGCAGCTCTAAGGATATGACAGGTACGGGAACGGCCTCGCTTCTCCTCTTACCATGTGAAAAACTCGAACCGCCGAGGTAGTCCATCAAAGGGTTTGCTTTCTCCGACTGCCACTCACACACCGTTTTATGTAATTTCGCTTGACGTATCTCAAGAGTGGTTTCGAATTTTCATATCTTTGGGTATATTGTTTGAATGCTTTTCCCATCAGTGGGGCTTGGCACTTACTGGCTACTTTCTTTTTCATTTCGTTTTGTCGGTGTGTGCGTTTCGTCGAACTTGCGTCACCCCCGCTGACTTGGGTGGGTGGTGGAAATGCTATTCGTCTGCTTTTCTGAAATATTCTTGTAGTTGTAGCTGTGGTGCTTAGAGGCCTGTCAGAGGTCATGGATAAAGGCTTTTGAAATACAGTACAGAGAGGGATTTGTTGCTGCAGAAAATTTTTGAACATAAATATTCAAAATTATAGGCTTGACCTTTTCATCTGGTAATGTTATATCAATTACATAAACAGGCACATGCACCGTATGTATCGGGCCGAGGTCTGGGTTCCATAACCTTTAACTTAAAGTAGTATTAGAATTTACAATGTTGCTATCCAGAATATATAACTGCAATATGTGTTTATAATATTTTGTGTGTTCATTTTGACATGTTAAGATGAATTATGTAAAAAAAACGGCTTGGATATTACCATGTATATTGTGCTAAATAAAGATAACCAAAGAAGAGACTGGCATAATGTAAAAACAAATATTAGCCTTGTTAGCATGTTTTATGATATTAAGTAGAGTTAGCTAACTTTCCCAACACTAATTAGCTTGAATCTCAC